TCTCCCCGCCTGGCTTTTGCAGCAGATCTCAGCCCTGCAGTGCAGAGCCCGTGGACAGGTGCGCTGATGGATGAATGCTCTGGGTTCTCCTCCAGACCTCTGACCGCTCTGAGATTGCAGCACAGTGCAGGGAGAACGTGCAGATGAACATCTCCCAGTGATTCAGGCTGGAGGAGGACAGAAAGGAAGGTTTCAGCTCGATCTTGGTATGCGTTCTTTATCAGCAACGCGGCTTTATTATGAGTTTTAGGTGCCTTGAGTAAGTTAAGTAATTAGAGCCAGGCAAGTCTATAAAACAGGCTGCTGATTGCTGAAATGTTGCCCTTTCTCCTGCTGTAAACGTTCAGTTCAGTTCTTGGTTTCTATTGCTGATCTTCTGCAGCTGGCATTTCACAGAATCGCATTTGTTCTTTGAGGATTCCATCCGGGAAAGCTCTTATGTGCTCAAGCTCTTCAGTGTACGAGAACTGTGGAGATGTGCATAGTGGACGTGGTGGGGTGGGTTGTATGGTTGGACTTGGTGATCTTAGTGGTCTTTTCCTGTCTTAATGATGGTATGATTCTATGGTCAGTCTTGCTTATAAATGTGGAGATACATAAAACTTTGTTGCCACACAAAATCCCTTTCTTCTCAAATTCCTGCTGTGCATAAGTCAAGGATGTGGGGGGTTGAGGCAGATGAGGCCATTCCTGCTCTTTGCATTACAAACAAGAACATTTGCAGTGTTCTTCATGTGCCTATAAAAACAGAAAATGATCTCCCTTGCAAAGGAAACCTTATTTCCCCTCATTTCCCCAGGCTGTAGCTGTGCAGGCGTATCGGAGAAGATCCTAAAAAACTCAATCTACTCGAGAACACCCATCTCCTATTGTGCCACGCTGCCGTCACACAGCTCTGCTGGAGATACAAGTCACCTTGGGTGATGATTTTTGGCTGAAGCTGAGAGATTTGGAAACCTGGAGTGGGACATTGAGGCTTGTGTTGAGCCTTGTCAATGTGTAGCTGGGCTGTGGGATTCCTTATGTGAAAAACAATGATGGAAGCTCCTGGTTAGGACAGGGACAGTGTGCATCATCATAAGCCCTTGGACAGCCATGGCGTGGTCAGAGTTCTGCTTCTGATTCAGTGGAGATTCAAATTTAGCTATAATTACTCCTGTTCTGAGTGCTAAAAGGTTTTTTACAGTCTGTTTATCCAAGTTTTGGAAACTTGAAAGCCAGCATCTTACAGAGACCACTGCAAATGGATTGCTGGGATTACAGCTGGATTGCCCATAAGCATTTTGGTTTTATTTTAGCACAATTATCAATGCCTTATTTATGTCCCCAAAGTCATTTTCAAGTGTTTTAAGTTATTTTCTATTGTGTGGCTCTCAAATGCCTGGAGTAAAATGCTTCCTCCTTTTCAGCTTTGCTTGTTCTAATTAAGCAAATCGTTAATTCTTTCCCCACTTCCATGGGAAGGCAGTAAAGCAAGGAAAGAGCCCATTGCCTCGTGCCACCTCCTTGCATTACATCCATCCCTGACACATCCTGGTATCCCACTGCTGCTGATCCATTGGAGCTCCATGTAAGTGGGTGTGCAGGTTCCAAGGGGAGTGCCTTTAAGAAGGCAAATGAGATTAATAATCTGAAAAGATTCATAAGGATTCTGTTATTTACTTTTAGCAAACAGAGAGAGAGAAAAAAAATACCTTTCGCGTTTCGAGTCATTTTATTTCATTATTTGCTTGCTTATTTGTTTATTGGAGTGGGAGCTCACTCATTTCTTCTTCTACTGCTAATATGAAATGCAATGGAGATGAAATCTGGATAAGGAAGTTTCATGCCGAGGTTAATAATCCAGAATAAGAAGCTTGCCATGGGTGTTTAAAGTTGACATAACCTTTCTTTGCTGAGAGAGTGGATGAGGTGCTGGAACAGGCTGCCCAGGGAGGCTGTGGATGCCCCTGGAGGTGTTCAAGGCCAGGTTGGATGGAGTCCTGGGCAGCCTGGTCTGGTATTAGGTATAGAGGTCGGTGGCCCTGCCTGAGATGAGGGATTTGGAGCTTCATAATCCTTGAGATCCCTTCCAACCCAAGCCATTCTATGAACCTTTGGACAGAAAGGCAAACTTTGGAGGACTTTGGGTTTTTCAGCTGTTTGCAGAAGTCAGATTTGCACAGCTGAGTCTTGGCTGCGCAGAGGTGGAAGCAACTCAAGAAATGTCTGTCCTCAGCAGGCTGCTGCCAGCTCTGTCCCTGCTGTCACCCATGGAAGGGATGGAGATGCAGCAGCACTCGCTGTCCTTTGCATCCTGGTCCGGTTTGGGGAGGTTGTTGCTAGCTCTGCTGTGTGGGGCCCAGCTCCTGTCTGTCTTGAGGGGAGGATATTGTCTTCTGCCCAGCTGTAAGCAGAATTGGCATCTTTAATGTAAAAATCATTAGAAGGGACGTAATTAACGTTCCTTATTGCACATTAACATTACCCAGAGTCAGGCTGCAGACATAATTTGCTTTGATTAGATATGTAGCTTTAAAAATTAGATTCATCCCAACCTCTATGCCGTTTATTGGCCTGTTTCCCTTTCCCTTGCTGTCCATTATGAGCTGGAGCCCTGTCCTGCACTGTCTGGATGGATTAGATGTAATGAAAGCAGAGTCAACTTCCCACTGCCTGCCCTCCATGGGAGCTCAGAGGGTGCTCTTCACCTCAGCACAGCTATGGCTCACCTTTCTCCTTCCATCCCATGCAAAGAGGGAAGCTGCAGAGCCTTTGGAGCTTTCCAGGAGCAAACCCCAACTCCATGAATCCAGTGGAAAAAATGTTTCATTCTTGAAGTCTACTTTTCAGCCTCTCAGAGGTTTGGGAACCTTGGAGTTGAGCAGAGTACCCATACATCACCATGGAGCTATTTTGCTATGCTTGTCAAGTACCCACATCCTATGGTGGCAAGACCATTTCTCACTTGCTGGCTGAGCTTCCTGTGGGGGAACAGAGCAGAGGGATGGGAGCTGCTACCCTATTGGGTTTTGCCTATGGAGCAGCCCTGGTTACCCTGCACAGCCACAGCTTGCACAGGGCACAAGGAAGATGTTCACCAGCAGGCATGTTGGACCACATCTGTACAAAGAACCTTATCTATTGGGTAGTGCTTTCAGCTCTTGTTGAAATGATAGAGCAATGTCTTTTCCTTCCTTTTTTTTTTTTTTCTTTTTTTTTCTGCCCTATCAATACATTTCTAATGACAGAGGTAACATGCAGGACTCCTCTTTCTCCTGGCGTTCATTCCCAGCAGGACTCATTGTTTCAGCATGGCTTTGTTCTGGATCCATTTGAAGTATCCACCTTAGTAAACAAGGTATGCTTGTCTGCTCTGATGTCAGCACTTTGCTTTCTGCACCTGTCAGCATTTTATTGTGATATTCAGTCCCAGAAACACAACCCACGCCCTATTTCTTCAATCAGAACATGCAGGATTTTCTTTTCCCCCATCCTTTCCCATGATCTATCTTCTCTTTCTTCTTTCATCGATTATTCATTTGTTTCTCACTCTGATGTGGGAGTGTGCACCAAAATCTGGGCCACCCCAGGAGCGGGACTGCCTGACCCATTTGCAGCTCCCTCTCACTGCACAGCCTGCAAGAACCACATTGGGTGAGGGTGATGATGAGTGGGATTGCAAGGGGCAATTCCTTGCTTTTTGGGGTTGTTGCAGGTCCCTGAGTACCAGAAAGGGAGAAATGAGGGGATTGTCCTGAGCTGTTCTGTGCTGAATGGGACTTGCTGCTGGCAAAGCTCAGCCCTTGTGGAGTGGCTCTGAAGGTCTCTTCCTTCCAGCAGACTCAGCACTGCCTGTGGTCAGAATAAATACTGCCAATTCCCCCTCTCTACCTGAGCACTGTGATGTTAATGGCCCTTGAGAAGCCGCAGGCACAGCCCTGCAGTGCCTCTCTTTACACAGCACCAAGCAGCTGCACCCGGCAGCCCGACCGTGCCTTATAAATATTTGAAAGTCAGTTTGTAGGAATGTGAGACAAAGCCAGACGGATGAATTATTTAATGCTTTGAAAGAACGCAGCTTTTAGTTCCTCCCCGTGCTGGCCTACTTCATTGTTTCAGTAAATTGATCTGCAGCAAATTAATTTCCCTTCTTTTCTTTGAGTAAGCAGCGGGCATGGCAGGTTGGTGGGGATTGCTCCGGCCACAAGCAGGTGCCAGGACGCCTCCATGGCTGCAGAGCTGGCATCAAACGTCAGAAGAGAGTGGAACTGCTGCCACCCATCAGTGCCTTTGGATGGGCATTGGTGCACCCAGTGCGCACGTGGAGAGGACTCTTGGCAGCGGCAGCCTCTGTGTGCGTTTTATCACAGAACTGTAGAATATCCAAGTTGGAAGGGACCTATAGGGATCATTGTGTTCACCTCCTGCCTTTACACAGCACCACCCAAAACCCAAATCCCATCTCTGTTAAATCCCCGTCTTGGTAATGTGTGGACAAGGGATGCTGGGAAAGCAGCTGGTGGAATTGAATCTAAAGAGTTGCCAAGTTTTCCTGTATGAGGGTGTAGCAATGGAGTGTTTCCATGTTTGTTGGAGCTGACATAACGTGGAAGGGATCTCAGAGGCTATCGCAGCCACGTGCTGGAAATGGAGGTGTCTTGGCCAAACCGATACTGGTCCAGGGGGTCCTTCCACACCCAACCCTTCCTGTTCATAGAATCAGGGATCCAGGTTCCCTTTTGCTGGTTGGTTCTCCTCCAGTGTTAAATGTGAGCCCTGCGACTGATCAGCAGAGTGATCCCGAGTGTGAATGCATGGGCCTGGTGGCCTCGTTGCTGTCACTTCTTATCTCCTCATCACCAGTTAGAGGTATCCTTGTAAAGGGACAGTGTTAAAGCTGCAGCATGGTGAATGCTCCTGTGTGTAAATGTCAAACCGTGTGACCGAGTGTGAAAAGTTCTTGCTCTGAAGACTGATGTTCTGTCCCTCTGTATTTTTTTATTTTTTGTGTTCTGTAGTTTTCTACTTGTTTTCTCCTGCCTGGTGCTGTCTGTCTTCTCAACCATCGATGAGTATCAGAACAGCTCTGAAGGGGCCCTTTATATTCTGGTGAGTTGGGATTTGCAAATGAAGTGAGCAGTATCACATCAAAATAAAGTTTAAAATGCACAAGAAAAACACCTACCCCTAAGACTGGGGATATTTAACTCAGGCAAGAGTTAGTGTCTGTTGGGACCCACAATAAGGAAAGGAGAAATCTGTATCAGGGCACTCAGGAGTAATCTGAGCACAATATTTGCTCTGATGTAATATTTTAAAACCTCTTTCCTGAACTTTTTCTGTTGTTTTTGCTTTGTTCCTCTTTCTCATCCCCTGCCCAGGAAAGGGAAAACCCAGCAGCAAAGGTCTGAGCATCACTCAAAATAGGGCTTTCTACCATATGGTCCTATGGGGCAATTCTGCATTGCATAGGAGAGCAGGGTTTAGGCTGTTGGACTGGATCTCTAATTCTGGAGCACGCTCACCACGTTTCCTTCTAGGCTGATGGCATGTTGTCTCCCCCAGGAAATTGTCACCATCGTGGTGTTTGGGGTGGAGTATTTTGTGCGGATCTGGGCAGCCGGCTGCTGTTGTCGGTACCGGGGCTGGAGAGGAAGGTTGAAATTTGCCCGCAAACCTTTTTGTGTCATCGGTAAGACCTGCCTCCTGCATGGGGTTTCCCAACCTAAGATGGCTATTGAAGAGCTTGCTTGCACAGTGCTGCAATTTCTTGCTTGCAGTTTGGGGATTGTTACTCACCTAGAGAAGGGAAGGGAGGAGCTGAGGTCCCTGCCCAACCTCTCCGTCAGTTCGTTCACTCCGTGCCTCATTTTGCCCTCCTGGGTGCTGAGGAGCTGCATCACAAGGGGGTTGTGAGACTTAATTCCTGCTTGTAAAGCACTCGGTGCTCCTGTTGTTGTTGGCCATCCGAGCACAGTGGGTGCTTTGTTTGGGGTCAGGAGTGACAGGTGAGCCATGCCATGCCCCATGGAGCCTGCTTTCAGGTGACCAGCAAGTAGCGAGAGTCACACATGGGATTTTCATTTATTGCACAGAAAATCATTCGTAAAAATTGCATAGCAAAAGAAAGAGGGAGGGTTTCAGGATCCTGCCCCATTCCTGAAGGTGCTCAAGGCCATGTCAAATGGGGCCTTGGACAACCTGACCTAGTACCCGATTTGATGGCTGGCAACCCTATCCATGGCAGGGGGCTGGAACTAGATGGTCTTTGAGTTCTCTTTCTACCCAGGCCAACCTGCTTCTGTGATCCTCGGGTTTGGGGTTTATAGCATATGACTTCTTTTCTTGGACTCCTGCTCTTCCCTCGAGCACCCTGGGGTTGTTATGGTGTTTAGTGTTAGTGTTCAGTGGTGTTTAGACAGGGCAGCTCACACCTCTGGGCAGCATGGTGTCACAGCAGCTGAAAAAGTCCTTGCCTTGCCTAGCAAGGACTTAGCCCAGCCTAGCCCTGGATCAGAATGCAGTCAAGTGACATTGAACACATTTTCTTGGGAATGATGAGTGTGGAGAAGAAAACCAAAATGTTTCCATCGGGTGTCTAGCTGCTCCTTTTGTCCAGTTAAGTCTTCTGCTGTATCCCTCTGGTACCATGTATTACAGTAGCACTTCCACGCACATCCTTCTGCTGCCAATGGCGGTGGCAGTGCCATCCCCTTTGGTGGTGCTCCAGCAGCACGTCTCCAGCTTTCAATGCCCTTTGTTCACGCAGACATCATGGTGCTGATCGCGTCCATTGCTGTGCTGGCAGCAGGCTCCCAGGGCAACGTCTTTGCCACCTCGGCGCTCAGGAGCTTGCGCTTCCTGCAGATCCTGCGCATGATCCGCATGGACCGGCGGGGTGGCACCTGGAAGCTGTTGGGCTCCGTGGTTTACGCGCACAGCAAGGTGAGTGAGCCCCAGCAGGGACGTGGAGCCCCTCTTTTCATTGCCTAGGTTTGGTTCCCCACCCAAAACATCTTCCAGGCTTGGGAGGATGGAGGGGGCACTCAGTAGGTGGTGATGTGCGGAATGCAAGGTCCTGTGGAGCCCTCCAGCCAGCAGAACAGAAATGGGAGGGATGTTGGGATGTTTGCAGGGAATGCCTTGAACACAGTGACCACCTGCACACTGAGCTCATTTCATGGAGTTAGCAATTAGCCAGCAGATTTGGGGGCTCGTGTTTCAGTTTTAACTTATGCGTGGGCTGGAGAAGTAATTATATTTTCATTTCTGTTCCACATCTTTAAATACTGGAGCTGCTCCCTTTCCACTTGCTGAGGTGTTTCAGGCGATGTGCTCTGCAGGGTGGGGGGTCATCCTGCGAGTGCTGCAGGGCACCACTAGCACTTGGGCCCATCTCAGATGTCCCTTCTCTGCACTACATTGAAAATCAGCACTTCTGATCTCCAGCCGAAACCCAAAGCCTAAACATGCACAGATGCAGAGCAAGTTCAGCTCTGAGGCCAACCGCAAGCAAGCGGCTCAGCTTTCGGAGATGCACACCAGGATTGCATTTATTCTATTCTGTCCCTTAATGATCTTGCAGGAGCTGATTACTGCCTGGTATATTGGCTTCCTCTGCCTCATCCTGGCCTCTTTCCTGGTATACTTGGCCGAGAAAGGAGAAAATGAGCACTTTGATACATACGCAGATGCACTCTGGTGGGGTCTGGTAAGTAATTTTTGTAGAGCAGCTGCTGGTTATTAAAATAAAATGTCCATTAACCCCCCATCTTCTATCACTTATTGAGGAATCAGCTTACAGACTGCTTAGTTAACATTTTTATTAAATGGCTTCAGGCTATTCCATTTAGCTAGATTTCTTAAATAAGGCTTGTAGGAGATGTGATGGGATCGCATTTGTTGAGCAACCTGGGGCAGCACAGCAAGAGAAGATCAGCAGTTGGACTTGGCTCCATTGTGGCAGATCTAATAAAAGCCTTGTGGTCATCACTGTGACAAGTATTGTCACCTTTCCATCGTTTATCATCATACTTGAGCTGTTAAATGCACCAGACTATGTTTCATGCAATTAATGCATTCTAAGTACCAGGAAAACTTCAATGCTGAAAGCACTCGCTTTGCAAATCTTTGCTGACAAAAGAGAAAGGGCAGTACTTTCAGTTTGCTCCGTGTGTGCGTGGGAATTATTGGATTAGTTGATTAACAAAGGGAGAATTAATGACGTTCTAATCTCCTTGCATTATTGTTCTTCTGCTCTGGCACTGCAGCGCTGGTTTGGCCTTGATTACAAAGCATGTAATGAAAATCCCAGATCTGATCAAATCCCAATAACAGGCTTGGGGAGGAATCGGCTGATCAAGCAGCTCCTCTTCTTCAGTAAAGGGAATGAAACGCTGCTAAGGCAGTGAATTGCTTTTCAAGCCCCTTGGTTATGACAGCAAATAAAAACAAAGCCCAGTTTGACATAACTGGGAAATAAACAATGGGGGAAAGCCGACGGCCCAGATCAGAGCTCAGCATGAGGAAAGCCATGGGCAGAGCTGTCCCTTCCCAGGCTGGAGAGCTGCATGCAGAGCATCCCACCTCATTCCCCATTTCAGGAGGTGTTGGAGCACCACGTGGTGTTGCTCCTGTCCATCTGACAGTGACATTTCAGCCTCATTAAAACGAGCAGATTTTGTCATTGTCTGGCTCACATGTCCAGTGCAGACATGCTAAGAAATGAGCAGAACAAATCAGCTGTCGGTTTCAGGAGCTTGTATCCTGATTTCATCTCAGTGGCTCCAAATCCTTGCAGTTGTCTCCATAGATATAACCCAACTTTGCGGTGATTAAGGAGTGAGTGTTGCTTCAGCTCAGTATTTCAGCACAGAATAGCCACGTAGATGCATTTTACTAAATGCTTTGTCAAAATGGCAGCTAATTGATAAGGCTTTTAGTGGGTGCTATTAAACGGTGCTTTGGGATTGGGCTTCCATTTGATTAAAACAGTTTTGCTCCAGGCTGAAGGCGTTAGGTTTCCGACAGCATGTCAGTTACATCAGGACTCCACCACCCTTGGAGACAGCTCTGTCCTTGGGGCTGAGGGTGAGGGACCTTGGGTCCTTTGGGCAGAAGTCTCCAAAAGGACGTCCCATCGTGCCGGTCCTCCCTGTCCTGGGTGTCCCAGGCTCTCCAAACTTTTCCTCAATTCTTGATGGAGGGCCCAGCATTCTCCATTTGTGAGGTTCTTGGACAGAAGCAGGAAAAATCACCTTTAGCTGCAGTTTGAAGCTCAATGATTATTTGTTTCCAGCAGATCTCTCAGCTCCTTCCCCAAAACACACAGAACAGCTTGCCAGCCTCTCTTGGTACATTACATTAATTCTGAGGAGGGGAAAAATACCTCTAAATTAGGTTGTACAAAGCAGCCTGTTGGGCTAATGTGCAGTTTTTAAGTAGGAGGGGAGACTGGCTAATGAGCACTGCTGGGAAAATGGGCAATAAACAGCATCAGATCCTTATGAGTGCAAATAACCTTGATTTCTTTTGAGATGTGCTGAAGGCAGGATGGCCCCCGAGCTTGTCTGCTCCCCACCATCTGCTCAGGGAATTTTGGTGGCATTGCTTTATGTTATTATTTTAGTATTTTATTTTAGTACTTACTGTTTTATTATTTTATTTCAGTACTTATTAAAAAATAATGAAGAGCAGTTTTTACATGGGGAGATAGTGTTAGGACAAGGTGTGGGTGGATGGTTTTAAACTAGAATAGAGGAGATTTGGATCAAATGGCAAAAGAAAATAAAATTCTTTACCCAGAGTGTGGTGTGGCTCTGGCACTGCTGCCCAGAGCTGTGGGGGCCCCATCCCTGGAGGTGCCCATGGCCATGAATGGGCCCTGTGCAGCCTGGTCTATGGGAGGTGTGCCTGTCCATGATAGTGGTCGGAGCTGAAAAGGCTTTAAGGTCTCTTCCAACCCAAGCTATGTGATTTCCAGTAGAAAGCAATGTGACTGAGGGTTGGGGTTCTCCTCTTGCAGATCACCCTGACCACCATTGGCTATGGGGACAAGTACCCACAGACCTGGAATGGGCGACTGCTGGCTGCAACCTTCACACTCATCGGTGTTTCCTTCTTCGCTCTCCCTGCCGTGAGTGTGGGCAGTGTGGGGGGCTGAGTTATTACCTGTTTACCACCAACCTGTGGCTTCATGTGCCTGAAGAACTCCTGGCTTCAACTGCTTGGCTGCTTCTGAGTCAAAAAGAAAAAAGAAAAGAAAAAAAAGTATCCACTCTGTGTGGACAGCCATGGTGCATATGAGCAAACAGGATGGAGAACGTGGATGTAGTTATTCACAAATGAGATGCAAAATGTTTACTGAAGTGAAACCATATTCCTGCTGCTGTTCCTAGGGGTGGCTGTGCCATTTCAGTAAATCACCTTGCTCCCTATTGCAGTGTTGCACGGATCTGATTTTCCCTCATAGGGGTGATTTGCTGCATGCTTGTATGATATGGATGTTTCCTGTTTTATCAGCTGCTTTTACCAAAGTGGCAAGCACCAACAGAGCCCACATTTGGGGCTGCATTGGTTGAGGGCTCCTTGCTCCTTTCCTGATGCATTTGAAGCAAAAATGAGATGGAACAAAGCTGTGGAATGAAAGCTGGCTGCAACCTCTCAAAGCTTGTCTAACACCTGCTAACTGCACAATTTCATTCTTTTCCCCAGGGCATTTTAGGTTCGGGGTTTGCACTGAAGGTTCAGGAGCAGCATCGGCAAAAACACTTTGAGAAGAGACGCAACCCAGCAGCAGGCCTGATTCAGGTTAGGAGCTGGGAGCCTCAGGGCTGCATCCTCCTGATGTTGAGGTCTAAATGGACTTCTAGGAGCAGGGGAGGAGAAAAATGGTGCTGCATGTCTGAAGTGTGAGACAGCAGCTGGTGGCTGGGCTTGTCTGAGAACAAATGCCAGGAAGGCAGCCATAGGGATGCAGCATATGCGAAAGTCTGGGGGAGAAAAGGAATGAAACTCAGCCCAGCACAGTGAGACAAATACACTGGGACAGTCTGTTTCACCAATTATGTATTTTTTTTCAAAGAGAATATTTATACTGATACCAAGTTACAATTGGGAGCACTTTCTTCATGCTAACAGATGTCTGCACAGAAGGCTGGCCTTGGCGGATAGCTTGAAGAGTGGTTTTACACTCCTCTGCTCCCTTCTCTCCAAATTCTGTGGCTCCCCAATGCACAGCAGTAGTGCTCCTGACAGCGAGTGCCTGGTACCTGCAGCATCTTTAGCTGTGATCAGTGGCATCATGGTAGTACCCCCAGTGTGTCACGTGCCAAATGGATCATTGGCACTGTGGTCACACCCCGAATGTATCACATGCTAAATGGATTGGTGGCATCGTGGTAGCACCCCAAATGTGTCACATGTCAAGTAAATCGTTGGCACTGTGGTCGCACCCCAAATGTGTCACGTGCCAAATAGGTCGGTGGCATCATGGTAGCATCCCAGATCTGTCACACATCAAAGAGAAGGCAAAATGTCAGACCCACAGATAGCAGAGAATTGGTGTTGGTGGAAGTTTATGAAACTCAGCCTGTATCTCCATTCCACCCTGTCTCCTCCCAGGCTGCATGGAGGTTCTATGCTACCAACCTGTCCCGCACAGACCTGCACTCTACGTGGCAGTACTACGAGCGCACCGTCACCGTCCCCATGTACAGGTACTTCCTCCTTGTGCTGCCTGCCTCGTGGTGCCCATGTTTCCGTGTTTGTTACCTGGATGTAGAGTTTTGTTATTCATTTAAGTTGTTATTCATTTAAACTTTTTATTTATTTAAGTTAAAAAAAAAAAAAAAAAAAAGATTTCCACATCTCTTAATAGTCAGAATATGTCTTTTCTTTCAAGGTTTATTTGTGTTTTTTTTTTTGGCTGTTTCATTTTGTGTTTCTTTTGGCCTCAATTTTAATTTCCCTGTTATTTTTTTTTTCTTCTTTTCATCTCTGTGTGTATGTACGTGCTCTTCTTTTCACCTTTATTTCTCCAAGCCCGGGGTAGTTGCGTTGTGTTGTGACAGTGCCGTGCCCAGGTGTGAAGACTCCAAGCTGCCCCGGACCTAGGTAAATGCTGCCTTGCCCTGCGTGCAGCAATTCGTGCTGCTCCACCAGGCTCTAATGGTCCTTCTGCCTTTCAGCACTCTTCTGTCCCTCTGGGCTGCCCTGGTGCCGTCCCCAGGTGCATTTGGCCTTGGTTCCAATTTCCTTTTCCTCTTTCCTTTTCTCCTTTTTTCCCTGCCCGTCCCTTTTCCTGCCTGGGCAGTGCTGTGCATTCCTCTCTGGTGTGTTTTGAAACTGCCCGGATCTGTCTGGATGGTGTTGGTTGGATATTCCTGCAGCTTTGTGAGGTTTTTTTGGGGGGCACGATGGGGCGGGCTCCTTGTGCTCCCAGTCCCTATGGTGCAGAGCTGTTGTCCAGCTCTGGGTTGTGCCGGTGCTGATGCAAAATCCCTCTGTGTTACTGGTGCCTTTTAGCCATTTGAATGCATTTCCCAGGGCAAGCATTAGTCCATGTTCGAAGTGTTAGCCAGCCTGTTAATCCATTTTAGAAGCCTGTTGGAATTCACATTGTCATGGTCAGTAAGTTGTCGTTGGATTTGTTCCCAGTGTGTGCCTGATTGGTTGTTTGTTCCCTAAAGGTATTTATGAACTGACATCAAGATTTTGCTTTAAGAAAAAAACAAAACAACAACTCAATGAAACAGAACCAAACTGTTTCCCAATAGCATTAAAACCCACTCATCCAACTCTCTCTGTCCCACCTCTGCGTTGGTTGGGAGCAGCTGCTGAGGGGAGCAGGACCTGGCCCAAAGCCCTCTGCAGAGCACACAATGCCAGCATTGGCTTCAGTGGGCTTGGTCATGGTTATACTGCTCTTGAAAATCCCAAACTTAGCATGCAGCCAGACATACAGGGGCACCCTTTGGCACGAGGATAAGAGCATCCAGTACTTCCTTGGGCATGGGGCTCTCTTCTCTCAGCTTCACCCTAAAACTCCAATTGCTATCTGTGCACAGGTAACCTGATCATCACCTGAGAGGTGAGCCCTGATGGCTTCAGCTCTTTGGTTTTTACCAAGCAAGTGGTGAACTTCTTTTTGAGTCTGGTTTGGATGTGTTGAACTGAAATCATTCAAAATACTTGTCCCCTAATTTAAAAAGGGGATAACTGTATGTTCTGGCTGCCGCTTCCATCTCTCACTTTGCCCATCTACCCTTCCTACCCACTTCTCCAAGCCAGCTGGCATGCACCAACAGCTGCACCCTGAGCCCAGTGCCATGGTGTTGGTTGCTGCGTGCAGCTTAGCTGCAGGCTGTGGTTGGGAGCTGGGTAGGGGGACACAGCATCCCCTCTGCCAGAGGTGAGCTGCAGTCACTGCTGCCTTAGCACCTTTTCTGCTCAACATTGGGCTGCTTGTTCCTCCTAGCAGGAGCCCCATGACTTGAGCTTATGTCTCTTCCCAAGGCACCTTTGAAAAGAGGGGCTGTTTGGTGGGGAAAACTGGTAGCTATGACTTGGAGGAGCATGCGTGTGCCCAGAGCATCACTCAGAGCACTGCAGGAGAGCTGGTTTCTCTCTGCTGGGGAAAATAGGGTGGACTCTGAGAGCATCTCAGCTTGGATGTTGAGATTCAAGATGTGGTAAAGCAAATCTGCAATATACATCTGGCTCCTATCTAAAAAAACAAAACCAATATTGAAAAAGAAAACCACAACAACAACCAAAACCAAACAACAACAAGACCCCCAAAATTACTCTATAATCACTCAAGAGAACAGGATATTGTTTTCAGCTATGTTCATATATTTGCACTAAAAAATAGTTACTGAAATGTCACGTTTCAGTAAACATTGGAGCTCCTTAGAGCCATCCTCCTGGTCCAAGGAGCCCCTGGCTGGTAGCACTGAGGGCTGAGGATTCCTCCCTGAAGATCTCTCAGAGTCCCCCTGCATTTTCCCTGCCCCGTGGTGCCCGTTTGCTTTGGGAGCGAGGTGCCAGCAGCCTGTCTCATGGGTGGCAGTGATGTGAGGAGCAGGGAGCGAGCTCAGCCTGCGCTGATGCTCACCCACAGCCTGGTCCCAGCTCACCTGCTCCCAGAGTGCACTTGGTTCATGTGCTAATTTTCTTTGTTCTGTTTCTTTTCTCCCTCCCTCCATTTTTTTTCCTTTCTCTTATCCCTTTGGTTTTCTTTGGTGAAAACTCTTGAAAAGCACGCAAACGCAAACGTACGGTGCCTCCAGGTATGACATGCATGTGACTCTGAACCGTGTGTCATGTCACTCCTTGTTCTTCGTTTGGGACTGTAATATACAAAGCCTTTAACTAAAAAAAAAAACAAACCCAGAAAGCTCTGAAAGTCAGGTGGTTTTGGTTTTTTTTTCAAAAGAATGAGTGAAACCCCAAACCAGACCGTCCATCCTGCTGCCTGCTGACTAACTCCATGTGCCTCCATACGTGTTTTAGCTATTGGTTTGTACAAGTGTTGGGAAACTGCCAAAATGATGATTTAAGGAAGGAGAATGGGAGAGTGCTTGATAAGCTCGCTTTATTAACGATGATTTCTTGATGGTCTTACCAACCTCCTCCAAATCATACAACTCTTAACAAGAATACCACCCCATTCATGTTTCCATTTCTCCTCTCCCATCACTCATGTTTGTTGCCCTTTCCCCAGCCCTCTTTTCCCATCCATCAGTGTTATCTCAGTGTTGTAGGAGCTGTGCACCCCGGGTATCTCTGAGTCTGCTGCCCTTGCTGGTGTGAGTGGTGTTGGTGGCACCACGGGACACATTGGTGGTAATGCAGAATAAAATTGCAGCAGTGGCTGTGCCTGTTTTTCAAAGGAGAATGGGATATCAAATGTAGTGTGCTAAGCCAAAGTGATTGCTCACGATTTCCCTCAGTAATTCAGTGTGATGCTTGGAAAAGGAGTGTCCCATCTCAGTAGGGTAATTACGTTTTAGTTATTTTTCCTTCTGTAACTGATCCGGAGCCAAGCAGTCATTAGTCCCAGTTGTTCCTTCTGAGAGCTGAACTTTCAATCCAATCAAACAGATGTGTATGTGGCTGGGGTGAGATTTATTACAAACAATATTATCTCAGATTCTGCAGAAGAGAGCAGGTTTTCAGATGATAGGCATATTTTATATGAGGTGGGTACCTGAAGGTGCAGTAAAGGCAATATTTGAAGATGTGGAATTAATGGCTTACGTTTGGAGACTGTGGGCCAAGCTCAGTTCTTAGAGCAGTTTAAATCCTCACTAGGTGCATTAACACAGAAGTGATTTAGTGCCTGATTTGCAAACCTGGTTCCAGTTTTCACGGGTACGAGTTTTGCTGCCTTACTCAATCACACTTACTACTTTGTGTGGTTTATTAACAGCAAATAGCATCCATGATTGAAAGTGTGTGATTGAGTGCACATCGAGTGCTGTCTGGGACAGCAGCCTGCTTTAAGGACTGGGCATTTTTCTACTGCTGGAAGTGAAATAAGAATGCTTCCACTCCAGCTCTTATCATAACATATTTCATAAGTCTCATAAGTATTCCCTGTTATGGAGGAATGACTTAAACTGGAGACAAAGTCATGGTGAGTGTGATAAGCTCCTTGTAGAACTCCAGCACAGCATGGAGACTCATTTTAGTCCTCATCATGGTATCCATGTTCTCATCACCCCCTCCCTCATTGCTCATACTGGGGCTGTTCAAACAAATCATCACCGTCTGTGTGTGTTGTGTGTGTGTGTGCTCCTGTGCTCTGTTGTGTGCTGCTGCCCTCCCTCCTCATGTTGTGGGGTCTCAGTGATGTCCTGGCTGGAGGCATGGTGTCCCCACTGTCCCCAAATGCTTGATCGTTGTCTGTGCTACCAGGAAAAGCAATTGTACCTTCCCTTTGGCTTGGGGAATGGAGTCAGTGCGGTGTTTTTATGTGTGGTCCTAAGAGGTGATGGGTTGCAGTTGGGTGTTCCAGTGGTGGTATGGGCTGTGTGTGCTCCTGGAGCATGCAGACCTCACCCAGCTCCCCTTCACCAAAACATGCTTCCTTGCTGACCAAGTGGCACGAGGACCTGGAGGAGAGAGAGAAAAGCACACAGAGCCCTGAGGCAGCAGGCTTCCCTTTGAGGTTGTGGTGAAGTGATGCAACGCAGAGCATTTTCTTAGGCTGCTTTTGTAAGGGCAGGTTAGGCTGAGCAGTCACTATGGATCACATTTGGGGTCTATATGGGTCTGAGTTGGTGCCCATTTTTATTAATCGTCTTTTCAGCACAGCATTCTTTTCTTCACCACGTGTGCACTGTGCCCACACCTACTGCAGCAGCAGTGAGTCTCTGTGTTGCTTATGTCATCAGCTCTGCATGGAAGCATCTCTGCTGACCAACAAGGTTGTCACATTCTGCACAGTGCAGACCTCAGGTTGTGGGCTAATGCAAGGGGAAAGGTCCTCCTGAGACCCTGAATCCCTCCACGTAGTTAATGGGGATCCGGAATCTTTCTATTTAGCTAACAGGGACCTCAAATCCTTCCATTTGATGAGCTCATGAAGTCTTCAGCTCTGTGACTTGCATCAGAGCCATGCATTTGTGATCCTGGCTTGAGAAATTGAGTTTGTTGCCCTGTGGAGCTCTTTGAAGCAGAGAACTCCATAAAGGAGGGGGAGTTGGACTCAATGGTCCTCATAGCTCCCTTCCAACTTGGGATGTTCCATGATTCTAAAGAAGAATAGTTGTGCACTCAGCATTAAGTGCTGAATACACTTTTTATTTAGCAGTACACTTTGTGCTTGATTTTAATGCACCTCCTTCTCCCGTCTTGGCATCAGTCTGCAAATATTGTGGTGGGTTTGCACAGAGGTGTCAGCCCAGCACTTGCACACTGCTCCAGTGCACAAAGGTCAGACTCCTCCTGACACCTCAAATGAGGAGGATCATTAATTCACCTACTCAGGGCATGCTCGCCTCTGGGTGGAAATGTGCAGAGCTGCACTGCGGAGGAAAGCCAAATTTTCAGCCCTGTTTTTACTCTTTCCTTCATCTTTAAGATTGGAACGTTTTTTTGATTGCCTCAGTTTTCTGAACACTGAATCTGTTCTGCTGATCAGCCATGTTCTTGAGTGTGGGATTTGTGCGTGCGGAGGAAAGGCTTTTCCAGGTGTTGTTTTCCTATTCCTATTAGAGGAAAACTGTGAGCCTGTTGGTCTCTTAATGGCTTAAAATTTGTCACAGCCCTATTCCTTCCCCTTTCCTTCCAGTCCTCAGCTGTAGGTTGGGGGATTTTGAGCAGATTCTGCTTCCATTAAAGCCCCTGTGGCTCCTTTCCCAATATGAATGAACAGACCCCTCCTGGGAGCTGTGCTTCTTTGGGCTGTAGCCCCATCCTTGTTGAAAGCATTGGAGGCAGCTGCTGATTTCGCTTTGCACCCTATAGCACAGCCATGACACGTAGCCCTACAGCAGCATGTGCTGGTAGCCCAGAACAGAGCTTGCAGCAAGTCATAGGGTGAGCCTGAGAAAGAAAGGAAAGCCCCTGGTTCTTTCCTGATCCAGAAAGCCATCATACAGGGCTATGGCTCTACTGGGGGCAAAATCATCTGCAGTCAGTAGAGAACGTGGGGATCTCCACCCAGTAGCGCTCTGCCTTTCCTGGATCACTGCCTCCCGCTCCACCTGACATCCAGCAAAGCTGCCACAACACCCCCATGCTGCCCAGAAATGCTGCCAGGCTCTCATGGTCAGGAGTGCGGGGAAGCAGACACTTTCTCTCTCTCTTGCTGTCCCAGTCTTTTCCTACCACCCTGCTATGGTCATTTTGAGAGCAGCTAGTTCCTGCCCCATTGCAGTCAGTGGCACTGAGATATGGTGAAAGGAGGGGACAGCAGGCAAAGCTTCCAGGAGAGGAGGCTCTGGGGTCAGCTCTGTCCAAACGTTAACACTCTTTTTTTCTCTTCCTGTAGACTCATCCCTCCTTTGAACCAGCTGGAGCTCCTGAGGAACCTGAAGAGCAAATCGGGACTGACATTCAGGTCAGCAACAGAGTTAGGAGAGCTTGGAAAGCTCACACTTCTTCACTGCATTTTTTTTTCTTTTTTTTTTTCTTTTTTTTTTTCCCCCCACATTCCTGCCTTTTGCGTGTCTGCAACCTTGAAGATGTGAGAGGTGTTGGCAGCTCATCCCCACGGGTTGCTCAGCAATCTCCTCCCTGCCCCTCTTCCATGCTGCCCATGCATTTCTTCAGCCTAATTTGTCTCTGGGGTAACGTTACAGTGCTTGGCTGGAAATGCAAAGTGGTACTTTCAGAGGGTCAGCTCAAGGTGGTATTCTCGGTTTGCCTCTGACCTTCCTGTTCCTCACTGCCCTCGGAGGACGTTCAGGCCCACGATGTGCTAATTCATTGCCTACCCTCCATCTTTCCCTAAGAGCAGGCAGGATTTAGTGGTGAGAAAAAGCAAAAGGATGCTCCCTTGGTCTCTCTCCCCTGACTGAAGCACTGTGTCCCAGATTCCCATAGCTCCATAAACAGGTTACAAAAGTCAAAGATCCTGCTGAGCTGGAGCACAGCACGTGGCAGTGGTGGGTCAGACTTGCAGCATTGCTGTGAGCATCCTGCTGTTTGGAAACCGTCCTGCTCAGCGCAGCTCTGCTTATCCTCTGGGTGAGGCTATCAGTCAGCCAGAATCACCACCTTATGCCTGCTAAATTTGCTCTGGTGAGATAGCAACAATTGCCTTATAAGCCCAGGCATCCTGCAGCTTCAGTCTGCACTCAGGAGTGATCATTTCATGTATTTTAAGCAAGGTGGTTCACCCCATTTGGTGACAGGGGCAGTGCAAAGCCCTGGGGATAGAAAGGTGATGCTGAGCTGGTGAGTTGTGGGTGGGACAGCACCTGCCTGGGCTGTGACCCTGCAGAGTGCAGGGATCTGGAGACCCACAGACGGGTCAGACTACAGATTGAGTGTGAATGTGTGAGGCTGGGGCTGGGCTGAGCACAGAGCAGGGGGATGAAGGCATTTTTTTTTAGACTCTTCAATCCAGTTTGTCCCCCCACCCCCAATAGCCAGCTGGTGCCTGGAAGGAACCAGGAGATGCAGACCTTTACACTGCTGACACTCACTGTCTGCTCACTCTCTTCTGGAGCTGCATGGATGAGGCTGTTCTTTCAGCCTGGTGTGAAGGAGGTGTGAGTAGCTGAAGGCAGGACATGTTTTCCTCATACTGCAGGGAAATGCAACCAAGTGACCAAGTTGGTCAGTAAAAGGGAGACTTCTTTAGTGCGGCCATAGGTTGGCTAGTGATGTTGTGCCTAGCCTTTTGCAGGTCTTCACCTCACTTTGTCCTCAAGGTCCATGTTTTTTTTCAGTGCAAGTGGTTTGGGATCTCAGTGGGAAACTGCATGCAAGAACTGTGGTTCCCACTCCCTCCACAGAGCCTTTGCCAATGACAGAAAGGATGGCTGAGGTGGAGGACCTGGGGCCAGGGGTCCGTACCCCCTCCCAGTTTTTTCCTATTGGCCAGGAGGGAAAAGCAGGTACCCCAGGCTCACAGAAGACGCTCCAATCTATCCCTATGTGCAGAAATCACTTGGGAAGGTGCTTTTCCAAAGGAAGGAGCTGCTCTCTGAGCACACAGATGTCCTCCTTTCTCACCCACATCACACGGTCCTGGGGTATCTGAGTCATGCATAGGCACAAGGATGGGTTGGGAGCAGTTGTACAGCCCTGTGCATTGTATGTGTCTTCTCTGAGGTTGTGTGAGTCTCCAGTGATCTCCTGTCCAGGACAGAAACTCCAAGATTGAAGTACTCCTTTCCCTCTCTTCTGTCCACAACTTCCACTTAGTTGTACTGTTTGGTATTGTCTTTTCGTTATGTTTTAACAGTGAAGCAGCAACATCTGTTGCCACCTGACACCATGCTAATGTACTATTGCTTCTGTTTAAAGGAAAGAGCAGCAGCCCGAACCATCGCCAAGGTCTGTATCACTGCCAACACGCCATCCCCATGCATTACCTGTAGATCTGTGTGTGTGTATGTATGTGTACCATGTCGTGGCACCATCGAGGGAAGCATCCTAGGTATTAATGTGCTTTTTCTGTGCTGTGGCAGTCCAATGTATCTACGTGTAATGCTGGACCTTAAATCATCTCTCCTTGCAGTCTGCCTGGGTGGCTATGAGGATAGTGAGGCTGTGGGGCAGAGGGACAGCAGTCGGTAGGGCTGCAGACCTTCATGTGGGCTGACAGCAAGGCTTTGGTTGACGCTGCTTTTTTTTTCCCCTTTTGTTGCTGGAGTTGTAGCTGGAATGGTGTAAGAGGGGCTTCAGGTGTGCCAATGGTGGTGTTGCTTTGTCTGTGCCACCACCATCCAACGTGGAGGTGACTTTGAGCACAGAGCCATCGCCGTGTCACCAAGGTGGCATCTCCCAGGCACGGAAGGGCTCTCTGGCATGGCACTGAGCTGCATGGCAGAAACAGCCCAGCCCTGCCTCGCTCTCTGAGTGATGCCCAGTCCCTGCCCTGCTTCCCTTCACGTGCAGAGCGTGCTCCGCTGGGTGCCCTCTGGACGTGGTGAGCACCTTCCAAGGCCAGCCAAAAATCTGACCTGAAGGAAAGTTTCTATCGCTTGATATGTCCCAGGGAAAGCAACAGGGCTGGTGTTTGGGATGCTTCTGGGAGACTTTTCGTCCTTCTCAAACTATTGAATTCTGGGATTTCTTCCTCTTTTTTTTTTCCCCTAGTTCTTAACAGAAGTAATTTTGGGACTGAATCTCCATATTTTATTTTATTTTATTTTTTTCTGAAGGACCAGGATGCAAAACTGATGATCTGTGGAAATCATCTGCTTGGCTTTCAGGTCTTCCATCCCATATCTCAAAACTTAGCTTAAATATTGCAAATATTGGAAAATGCATTTTTAGTGGTCTGGCATTTTGCAGATGAAACTTTCTGCTGTACCTTTTAGCTTATCAGAGGCCAGAAACTAATTTTCTCCTAGCACAAAATCCAACCAAAGATGTCTGTGCAGATACAGCGCCAAGTAAAGGAAAGAAATTTCATCCTTCCTTTATTCCCCCTACTCCTCTTTTTTTTTTCTTTTTCCTGTATTTCATTTGAGCTTTTCCTTTGCAAGCAGAACCTCCATAGCACTCCATCCACTCCCTGCCAAATGAATCAAATCACCAAGATCATGTTTCAACGAGCCAGAATGTCTCTTTTTTTCCCCACTCAGGGTCCCAGTTGGTGTGGTGAGAACAAAGGCAGCCTCCATTCAACTTGATTAAAGCAGGGAAATACTTTCTGGGAGCAGAGGAAGGCTGAAATCTTGTTCACCTGCCCTTGGTATCAGGGACTGCGTTGTCACAAGAAATCCCTGCTCAACCCCAGCACCTCCATAGCTGGAGAACTGTGAGGACCACTGTCCTTCATGTGGTCCCAGGTACTGGTCTTCCTTCTGCAGGCATCTCTGTCCTCTTGCACCCCTCGTTCTCACCAGTTAGCACAGTAAGTTAAATGATAGCATATTTCTTCACAGAGATTGCAGGTTTTTCCTGTTCAGGTTCTACAGTGCTTTCTTAGCCTTATGCCACAGAAAGAAGTAAAAACAGCCTTTCGCTGTCCTTATTGAAAGTTTCTCTTACTATACATGGCTCCTTCATCAGGGTTTCCTGCTCCTGTGTCCATTTCCTGCAACAATGCTCTTCCACGAAAGATGCTAAACCTTGAACCCAGGCATTCTAAAGCTGAGGGTCTGTGGCTGCCATATGTGTGACAGTAGAGGACTTTGCAGATCGCTCAGTTCAGTTGCCAGGGCAGAGTCAAAGTTCTTTCCATCTCTGTTTTATTAGGACAGTATCACTTCTCCCTGCTCCTGCTTTGCCTTCAGGAAGGCATGTTGCACAAAAGTCCATATATTCAGGGGACCCCAAATCAGCTGTTTCTCAAATAAAAGTCTCTGGGGCTTTCACAGTGACATCCCAAATCTCCCATCTGCTTTGATTTTCAGCAGCCCCACTGATTCTTGGTGTGTCATCCTGTCCTTACAGGAGTGCTCTCATCTCCTTTGCCATTCCACCCAATGGTGTATCTCTAGCTCTGCTTTGTCTTTGGTGATCATGAGTTTGAAAACTCCCTGGCTGAGTCACTTCTCCTAGCAGACCCCAGCACTGCTCTGTTACTGCTTTGGCAAGTGAAGCATTTTCCCCTTTCTATTTCCATCAAAGTAACAAAATGTCCAGTCTCCCATCTGGGCACAGCTGGATCTTCTTCCTATTGCAGCTCTTTGTAGGAGTGGCTGATTTCCTATATCCATAACCAATAGAATACCAGGACATCCTTACGGCAAGTAGCACAGAAATGGCTTTTCTGCTGTGTTGCATCTTCCAGCATTTGAAGTTGGAGTGGAGATGCTGACCCAGCTTGTGGGAACGTGCTGTGCAGAACTGGCCAGTCCCTGGGATCTCGCAGTTATGCCCTCTGCCCCCTGTACTGCTGTGGCTTTGCTGATTTCTGTTGAGATGGCACTGGGAGATTGGCAGCCTGAGCTGGGAGGATGTGGGGGTGTGAGCAGGTTAGTGAGGTGGGGACTTGGGGTCGCCTGGAATGATTCTGGTGGCCTTTGGTTGGGTCTTGGTGTACAGTGGGACAGCCATCAAGGAAACAGGTTATGATCCCTCTCTGTTATCTCTGTTTTGTTCTCCACCGTGAGCTTTTCTGCATCCATCTCTGAGCACAGGGCAGCCACATGCTGACCTGCTGCAGGGGCAGGAGCTCAGCTCCCATGGCACAAAGCTGGGCTGCCTGGAACAGAACAGACTCTGGCCTTTTGCTACGTGCCGTGGGCTTCTTTGCCATTTTTGTTTTCCTTCCATTAAAAAAAAAAAAAAAGAAAAAAGAAATGCTTACAGAGCCTCCTCTACTGGGAGTTGCTTCGGGCTCTGCACCAATGGTAACCTCTGAGTCCACAGGGTCTGGGTCACAAATCCAAGCTCTCCAATGCCATGCAAGGAGAAATTTGATTGCTCCTTTCCTAGTCATGTTGAAAATTCACTTTGATTTTGTCATCTGACTGTAATGTTCAAAAGGCAGATGGGTGGTTAGCCAGGGCTGCAGAGGCTTTTGTGGAAGAGGTGTGCTCCAAATGATTTGGATCAGAAAGCGTATATGACTAGATTTGTTGGGCAGGAAACTCAGGATGAAAGAACTGGATGATCACAATAATCCATTAATATTAGAGAAGAAGAAACAGAAAAATTCTGGGAAGCTGGGAAGCTGAAAGTCAGATTACTTTGTCCAGCATGAGTTAAGTTCTGTAGGCAATGAGAGGAACCTCATTGGTGGTTTGTCCCCAGAACCCCATTTGGTGGTCCTCAGCGGTGGTTTGTCCCCAGCCCTAACGAACTCAGCAAGATCTTGGCCATCACGTTGAGTGAACGCTGGACTGGGCCACTCTGTAATGTGTATGTATATCTGTGCGTATATCTCTCTTTATCAGTGTATGTACGTGTCTGTCTGAGATGCACTCTACCTCCATAGCTCTGCTCAGGGCTATGATTCAGGCTTTAGGACGCAGTAGAGGATGCCTTTGGTTGACTCAGGGGACCCCTGCTCTTGCCAACCCAGGGTTGCTGACTTTAACCTGTTAAACTGGTGGCGGAGACTCATGCTGGGACCGACAGTAATCTGGAAATAATCAGTTGCCTTTCAGGGAGCGGATTATTTGCACAGAAGGAACGGCATCTTTCCATAGGGACCCTGAGGCTCTGCATGCTCAGCGCCCCACAGCCGTGCCGCGATGCTCAGCCCCTGGTGGCACCACCACTCCATGGGGACATGCTGACCCATTGTGAGCTCCTGGGGCATCCTGGGGACGTGGGGTCCTATTGTGAGCCCTCAGCAAGGAGAGGGCTGAGCTCGCGCGGGATGCGGGAGGAATTCCTGCACGTCCCTCCTGTGCCCATTGCTGAGCTCAAGGCTGATGTGAGTGTGGGGCTTTGTGCCCTTCCCTCCCTCAGACTGCCCATGAGCTCAGCTGGGACATCAGCTTTGGCTGCGTGCAGGGCCACCTCGTCAACCTGCCGCAGGCAGAGGGCTGCTCCATGGCACGAATACCCCTGTGGTGGTGGGGATATCAGTGGGCAGCACTGGGATGGGTCCACAGAGCCAGGAGCTCCCCAGAAGTGACAGGGGACGTCCAAGGAGTGGGCAAAACTCGGTGCTGAGCACTGATGTTCAGATGGCTTCCCATAAGGAACTGCACCGCCCTCTGTTTTAATCTGTGTATTTTTTTTTAATGCCAGGCTTAAGCTTATACTATTAGCTGTATGAGAAGTGCAAATAATCCACAGATGAATTAGTGTTCTTGGTGGTACATGTATGTGTATTAGAAAAAAGAAACTAATATATTCAAATCTTTTAGATGTTGCTGGGGGAAATCAGTTAAATTTTTGGCTCTCCATACTTTAGATAATCAAAATATGGTATTTTTTAAAAATCTATTTAGAGGAAGAAGAGAGTACTTTTTGTTTCCAGTGCAGTTGAAAAAGATCTTCCTGCCGGATTCGTTCAATTGCAGATGAACTGATGCCACCAATTCAATGCAGAATGTGTCACGTCTGGTAATGACATTGATTGATCTCAGCAAGACAAATTTCAGAAATGCCCTTGATGTCTTTTTTTAATGTAATGCTCAAGCATAACAATCCTGTCATGGACCTGGCCCTCAGATCACCTGTCTTTAAACCCCGAGTCAGTAATCAAAAGTTTCCTGTCTGGCATTTGCTTCTGGGTCTAATTTTTACTCTCCCCTCATTTCCAGTAAAAGCAAACCGTGCAGAGAGTCACTATGCGGATGCTGCTCAGGAAACTCTAGGTACCACGGGAAATGCGTCGCACGGAACTAATCAAAAGCTGCACGGCTCATTCTCCCTCTACCCTGCTACCACCCGTTCTGATCACTTCTCTGCTTAATAGAGGT